CCAATTGGAGTGGGGCCAGCGCGAGCAATCGGAACTCACAAACGCTCGACGACAGCTCCAATGATCACGACTCCAGCTCGATGAGCGGCAGCTGCAACACGATGGTGCTGCTCGGGCCCTGCTCGAGCGGCAAAACGAATGCGGTCTTCGCTCTGGCGAACGACATGAACTTCAATGTGCTGGAGATAAATGCGGGCATGCGACGGACGGGCAAGAAGCTCATACAGGAGCTGCAGGAGGCGACGCAGTCGCATCAGATACGCAAGGAGGCGAAAGCAGGCGCCGCACCGACGCAGCAGCTGCTCCAGAAGTTGCAGCAGAACGGGCTGAAGGCGAGGCGAAATCAGGGCGACGACGATGTGCGAAAGTCTCTGATATTGATCGAGGATGCGGACATTGTTTTCGATAACATCGATGCTGGCTTCACGGATGCCATTTACACACTCGCTGCCAGCTCGAAGCGTCCCGTCATCATCGTGGCCAGCGATCCGAACTGTGCGCACCTGCAGCGCCTGATGCAACAGAATACGATCAAGTTCCAGGCGCCGAACGCCCTGAACATCTCGCGCTTCCTCGCCGTGCTGGCGCTCATGGAGAACTGCCCGATCGAACTGGATGAGCTGATATCCCTCTATTTGTTCAACAATCAGAATCTGCGCAAGACTCTGATGGAGCTGCAGTTCTTCATACAGAGCGGAGGCGATGCCAAACGGGAACAAGTGGCAGTTGCTGTTCCGTCTGGTTCACCCAGCAAATCACCCCGTTTGGCCACTTTACCCGGCGTCCAGATACATCAACGTCTCTTCGAGTTCTACACCAGCGCTCAGAATGTGCAGCACTTGATACCCTTTCCCGTTGACTTCCGCCTGCTGCGCCTCAATCTCGGCGAGCTGCTGCGTCACTCCACCCAGCTGCAGTCGCCCTCGACGCCGGTGGCGCGGCGCGTGGGCAAGCGCAAATCCTGCTCACCAAAGAAAGCGTGGCTCAACAAGAGCGAGGCCCAGGAGCCGCTGCAAACATTGGCCTCCTTCTACGAGCAGCTGTCGACGGCCACGCTGCTCGATGCGACGCTCGAGGAGCGAAACGATCGACTGCAGCCGCATCTCTCGGAGCAGCTGGCGCACGAGCTAGTCGAACGAGCCGTCGGCACTTGTCTGGCCGCCAAGAACTATGCCTACAACTTGTTCGATAAGCCAGAGCAGCGGTGAGTAGATAAAACGAGAGAAGAGAGAGCAAGAGAGAGAGATTATCTAATTGAATTCATTTGCCTTCCCCCCTGCAGCTTCAATCTCTCGGATCAGCTGGGCAGCTTCCAGTTGCGCTCCAGCTGCGCCCGCTCCCTGGACTACGAGCCCGCCATGCGTTCCATTTGCCGCAGCGAGAAGCAGCGCGCCAGCTTGGAGCGACGCTCGAGTCGCTTCTATCACTATCTACGCAATCACACCAATCACAATCTGTCCAGCTTCTCCCTGGAGCTGTACGACGCTGCCTGCCAGGTGCTGCAGGAGCAGGCGCCCTTAGTCGAATAATTAGTGCAAAGGAAACGAAACGGATAGAAAAGGCAACCTTAATGGAAAGTTTATTTACATTTGCGCTACGCAAAATAGAGAGTTGATCTTCTTATATTAGTTAATGACTGGTTAAGCTCTAGTTAGCTACAGTAATAATACACTAAAACGACCTGAACTATGTTAACAATTAAAACAAAAACGAATACACCTAATGGCAGTTGTGAAGCTCTGCAACCTAGCAGCAGCAGAGGAAACTATTCGAGGACTTTTCCGCCGGCTTTGGCTCCGGCAGCTGCTGCTGCTGCTGCTGTTGGAGTCCTGCTGATTTCTGTCCTGATTGTGGCTTGGGCTGTGCATCGATGGCCACTTCACCGATTTTGAACTCTTTTAGCTGCTGCACTGCATCCGAGGAGTGTCCGGCACTGTTGAACGCCTTCGTTGCATCCTTGCCCGCCACCTCGAGTATGAGATCATCGCCACCTGGATGCTTCTCCACAAATGCTGTCACATCGTAGACGTTGCCCTTGTAGATGATCCACACGGGCTGCCCGTTCTTGCCGTTGCGTTCTGCGACCTCCGATTTCTGATAGATCTGTGACATCTTTGGGAAGTGCTATCTGTCGCCGGAGATAAGAGATAAGAAGCGTTGTCGCTCTCCAATTGCCAAATGGGTTTTTCTGGTGCGTGCGTCTGCAGTCGGGGGCAGGCAGCTATTCCACGTTGCTGTTCCGCGAACCACAGCCAGACGAATGACTAGTGCTAAGTGCTTTAATTATTTTTATGTGTTTATTAGTGGTAAAAGAGGGGGAAATTTAATCGATAAGAACTACGTGAGGTTTTCATGTCGGACGGTCTAATTCCAATTTTGCGTGCCGCTATACTTAAGCTATATTGAGTGCCCAATGAGTTGGCACAAGTTCTTAATGCAAGCGGAAATACTAACAAATAAATTTGCTTATCAGTTGCGATGCGATAGTCAGAGAGCTCTGCAGTAAGTTCAAAATTCCAATCAGATTAGATGGAGTTAAAACCTGTTCAAATACCGCTGGTAAAAATCGATCAAACGCAATTATCATTGGCGTTTAAGATTCTGTTATCTCTTATCTTATCTCTTGCTAATAAATTTCAAATATAGCGGGCTACTGCCTGCACACTGCTCAAGCAGTTCGCTTGCTTGAACTGCTTGAGAAGAACAAGCAGTCATGGGCTCATTTCACTGCATCAGTTCATATGCATTGCTAATACATTCGTAACCGGCCTGAACTGCTTAGCGAAGCAGCGCATTGCAATTGGCAGGTTTTTCATTTGCTTTTCTGAACTGTGCTGAAATCGTGAATGATATTGACAGACTAACACAGCGTATGTTATCTCTAGAGCGCAGATTTCTATAACATACAATATTATTACTTCCGTACTGACTCCAATGTTCAAGATTCGTAGCTGAACCTGATTGCTCATTCTGTCTAAGGCCAAACTGGTTGCTTTCTATCTGATTTATGTACTTGCAGCATATGCTCACTGCAAATATAGCAGCACTGCTTTATACCTTTGTTAGTTAACTTAAACTGCTTTTCATTATGGCAAACACTGCTTAGCTTATTTATCTAAATTCCCTTTAACAGTTGCTATAAAAATATAGTTTAAAGTGTTTCCAGCCAAGTGCCCTGCACTGTGGCACCCGCTGTTGAGATACGACTTTTGTTTTTGTTTTTTGTTAGATTTCAATGTTATATTCATGAGACAACAACAATAATGAGTAATAATTTTAATATAGTATTATGTATTTCACTTTTTATATGCTATGTATGCATTTTCTTCTTCTTCGTGCTTGGGTTTTCATCGTTTTATTTGTTTTTAATGCCCATTTTAAAAATTTCGCTAGTATTTAGTTGAACTTCGAATTTTTTCGGCTACTCTTTGACTTTTTTTAATCGAATTTCAACTTTTTTTTTGTGGGGGATTGTGTTTTCTTCTTCTTTTTGCTTTTTAAAGAGTTTTCGTTTTGATTCGCTTAAGTTAATTAAATTGAATTCTACCCTGCTAAATATTATATATCTTTATATACATTATATAAAATATCAGTCAATGGCATCGAGTGCTACTTAAATGGCTCGTAGGACTTTGCTTAACTGTTTAGTTAGTATTATATATATGGATATATATATATATATATATATCGTAATTATCTATGGGCTGGTTTTTATCTAAATTTTTGTATGCTTTAATGGATCGTAAGTATTGAAACCATTCAATAAATATATATTTATATACGAGTTAATTGGGCTTCATCAAAACTAATTTATCATTTATATATTGCATTTGTATATAGATTATATATACATACATAATATATAGATAGATAATGCCACTGGTTTTTTGAGTGCTTTGATTGGAATTGCTGCTACTGCATCTAGTTAAGTTTAAATATTTTTATGGGTAATACGTTAAGAGCTCGAACTCTTTCGCTCTCGTTCTCTCTTTCTCCCTCTATACTCTCGACCTATACACATGCACACATTTTGTTCGTCTAGGACCAAAGGCAAAAAATTATATATAGTTATACATATATAGGTATATCCGACTATATACAATTTATGGATATTTTTTTATAGCAGTTTTATCTTCGAGCTTCCAGCTCCACTTCTTTTTTTATAATTATATTTATCTTGGAATAATATAATTTTGTATTTATTTATTTATTTTTTTTTGAAGTAACGACGCCAAATCCTAATATTATATATATTAAAAAAATTGAAAATTTTATAGCATGTTTTCTTGTTTTGCTTTTCAAACGGTCTTTTATATTTTCTGCAATTTTTTGTTTTTTGTTTTTTTTTTTTTGCAATTTTTGTTGAGATTTGTGCTTAAAATTTACATTGCTGTGTACAAACATATATATATATATATATTTATATATATATTAGATATATATTATTATAATTATTTAAATTTTAACTTATGTATGTCTATTTATTTATTATCAATTTTTATTTGCGCTATTTGGCTAAACTAAAAAGAAGAAAAAAAATTTACACCTGCACTTGCTGACGGACCAAGAAAACCAATATATATACATATATATATATATTTTAATTTTGTAAGAAATCGTTCTTGAACACATAATACGTTTAAAATTCAAATTTAATTAAAAAAATTTTTTAAACAAAATTCAAATTTTTACTAAGATTTTTCTCAAATTATTTTTCTTTTCTCTTATTAAATTTAAATATATACAAATTGAAATAATTTTATGTATTTTGAATTGAACTAAAAACTTGAATTGTGTTCCATCAAACAAATACAATATATACATATATATATATTTATAATATATAGCATATATATATATGTGATTGATTGATTTTTGGGTGGGGCTAGAGTTTTAGTTAGAATTTCTTTTGATGTGTTTGTTAAAAACTATATAGTTATATATTCAAACTAACAAAATACAATATGTACCGTAATGTTGCTATGCATACATATATATTCATATATATATGCATTAATTGTCTCAATTTGTTTATGTATAAATATTTTTATCATGCGACAATGGAAATGAGTACAAAACTAAATTGTGTCTGTCCCTCTGCATAGGTGTATGTGTGTGTGTGTGTGGTGTGTGTGTGTGTATCTCCTCTCATCGTTTACAAATTAAATTCTGACTAATAAACAGTCTTTTCGTGCCAGCGCGAAGTTCTTGGACAGATCTCTCTCTCCCTCTTAACAATCAGCTACGGCTCCATCAAAAGCTAAAGGTTGGAATTATTGCGTCGTCTCATCCTGCTGCTGCTGCTGCGCTGCCTGATCCGGTGCCAGACTAAATGTCGCTCCACCAGTGCTGCAGGCGGTGCTCTTTAGTGTGGGCAGCGCTGTCAGTGGCGCCGCTGCCAGCGAAGACGCTGATGAGGAGGGCGAGACACAGGCGGGCATGCCCGCTGACGAGGCCAACGAGGAGGCGGACGAAGACATGGACGCTGACGAGGCTAATGAGGAGCAGCCGGTTGCCAAGGGCGTGCCACTCGCTGTCACAGAACCAATAGCACCACTCGAACTGGTTGTCGCCAGCGACGTTGGCGACTTGGGCGAACTGATGCGTGAGAAGAATTTTGTGATGGCATTCGGTTTCGATTTGGTGGCTGCGCTGGCTGCTGCCGCCAAAGCGTAAGCGTGGGACGCTGTCCCGCTGCCGCTGCTGCAGCTATGGCCAGCTGTTGCTGCTCCTGCCGATCCAGCCGCTGCCGCAGTCGTTGCTGCGGCCGTGGCCAGGCGGTAGCTGGAGTTGCCAGCGCATATATGTTCAGGCACATCGCGTACAGTTTTGTTGGGCGGCGGCTTTGTGTACGAGCGCGTAATTTCCGATTGCTAAAAAGCCAAACAAACAGAAAAAAGACAATGAGTTGGACAAATTGATGGGTTAATTGAGAGTGTGTGCCTCACCTGGTAGCTGCTACGTAACTGCAGATGACGATCCTGTCCGTACTCGCTGTCCGGCAGTGGTACATGATGTGGACAGCGCGGCGTCTGCTGTTGCTGCAGCTGATATTGGTAATGTTGATGATGGTCGGCGCTGTGGCTATTCAGCGAGCTGCATGTCGAGGCGTTGCTTTGTTCGCTTTTATAGCTACCGCTGCTGCCGCTGCCGCTGCCACTGCCGCTGCTGCCTGTGTTGCCATATTTTAGAGTAGTCGCCTCAATGCCGCCGCGTGCCACAAAATTGTTAATACTATGCCCGCTGTTGTTGTTGTTGCTGCTGCTGCTGCTGCCATGTTGCTGATAATGTTGCTGATGTTGCTGCTTCTGTTGTTGCAATTGTTGCTGATGGTGGGAATGTTGTTGCTTATTGTTGTGAAGTTGTTGCTGTTGCTGATTGTTGCTGCCGCTGCCGCCGCTGCTGCTGCTGCCTATGTTGCTGCTGTTGCTACGAATCACAGTCTCGCCACGCACGGCCAGCAGCTCACGTGCTTGGAGCGCATCAACGCGCATTCTACATCTAAATTGATCCCTATTAAGTAAAGGGTTAATATTAATAAGCTTTATTGAATATCAAATTAATTTTATTGGTCTCTGTCCTAGTTATGTCAGTCACTAACTTTTTAAAGGAATTCTTTTCATTTCACTACTGTCAACAATTCAATTAGCTATTAGCTCTTATGGCCAAATCTTTGAGTTATGCCTATATCAGTCAGTCAGTCAATCAATCAACGATTTTTGATCATCAGCCAGTGAAGTTATGCTTCAAGTCTTTTATACCATTCCATTGGCTATCCCGTAAAGTTGATCAATCGGTCAATCAATGCCTTCTTGGTTTATTCTCTCAGTCAATCAATGAATCAGCTTTTATCCACTCATATAACAAACTTTAACTCAACTTAGCAAAGCTCCTCGTCTATGTTCTGTGCCGTGAGAGTCACATCAGTCAGTCAATCAATCAATCAATAATGAAAAACCCTTTTACTTTTGTATTCTCACCCGAATCTCTAAACATTTCAAATTCCTAGCATCTGGGCAATTGTGATTACGACCAACAGTTGGTCAGCCAGTCATTCAATCCATTTGCTTACCTATCATCGGGTGGTGTGCTCAATGATGTGCGGGTCGGAACGCCAAGCCGCTCCATTCCCGCGCAGCCGGCCGACTGTACCGATAGCATCTGCAACAAGAGAGAGAAAATCAATTAAACAATATGCAAATAGATAAATATAGAATATAATGGACAATTATTGTCTAACTTTAGTTGAGCAAGTCCTGGCACTGGGCCACCTCCTCGACAGTCTGAAAGCGCGACGTCAGGTGCCAACTCTTGCGCACCAGCGGCTTCCATTGAATGCCATCCGCCGTGCTCCCAACTAGCTCAATGCTAATTTTCATGCGCTGCAAGTTGGGCCAGGGTCGAAAGGTCAGATGCCCCGTATATATGGAGCTTGTGCGCATGATGAACGGCTGCTCCACAAAGAGCAGTGTCTGATGCCAAAGCGATTTGAGAGGTGAATTCAAGCAGGGATTGCAGCTGAGCTTGAGTGGCAAATGGGCGCGACTGAAGGAGACATCGAAGTAGAGCACAAAACATTCACAGTAGCCCTCCTTTTGCACTTTCAACCGAATCTCTCGATCGATCTGGAAATCCTCTCGAGAAGCCGTACGCAAGTCCAAGCTCAAAACTTTGTGAGCCAGCGTGAGCAAATGCTCGCCCTTCGTGCGGACAAAGCGGGGTTCGGCCAGCGCGTAGCGTCGCATGGCATTCATATTGAAGCCGTAGACATCCAGCCACCAGTTGCAACGCTCGTTCTTCAGCAGCTGCTCTGCTCCAGCTAGCAGATAAAGTGCACCCAGGTCGGGCAGGATGAAACCGTCTGGCTTCAGCCAACGATCGCGTGCCTGGATTAGCTGCATTAACTCCGATTCGTACAGCAGACACTGTCCCATCCAGTTGCAAACAATGCCGTCCACACGCTGCGGCAGCTTCACATCTTCCACTCTACCATGCAGTACCTTCACAATATGCTGCATCTTATTCGCTTTCACGACGAGCCGCGCATAGTCCGTCACCTGGGAATGATCCACAGCAAAGACAGTTTTCGCACCCGCTCGTGCGGCCATCAAAGCCAAAGTGCCTGTGCCGCACGTGAGATTAAGTATGGTCTTTCCGGCAAACAGATGACGATTCTCGTGCATGGCCAGCTGGAAGAAACGCATGTGATCTTGATTCTTCTGCCACGTGCGCATATTCTCCAAATGAGCTGCGAAATCGTGACGGAAATCGGAGGATGTCATGCGATCCACTGTTTGTAGCTCGTGGGGTACGTCACGTGTGGGCGTCGGCAGACGTGGACAGGAGCGGACGCGTTGGGAACTATAGCATAGACCACGGCGAGCGCCGCGAAGGCTATCAGCAGTTACAGCTTTGGACTTAGTTGTGCTATTGCCAATTGGTATCTTATTTATTTTATGGTATCCATTAGAGAGACTCTTCACATTCGATTCCTTATCTGTCTTCACAGTTGCATTTGAAGCTGGGACTGCAGTCAGAGCGGGAGGACCAGCAAGAGCTGATATTGGAGCTGGTGGTGACGCTGTAGCTGGACTAGAACTGGCCTTGTTTTTATTCGCTTTGCTCTGTGCCTTTTCGAGCTGCGCATGAAAGGCGCTCAGAGAAATGGGCTTTTGCTTGCGGCGACTGGCGTCGCTTTTGCCACATGTTGTAGCTTTATTATGGTGTGCAGACATTATTATTTTTAAAACAAACAAACTAAAATCGTGTAAGATTTAAAGCTAAATGCGAGGCCAACTGTTAAAATGCAACCCTGCACACGGCCAGATATCGATTATTAAGAGGATGCCAATTAGTCAAAAGTTTATCAAAGACGTTAAACAATTTAAATGGTGCAGATTCCATTTTGCAGCTCAAGTGACAATCAGGCAACGCCAATGATCTTACTGGATTTTAAATCCGATAGTGGATAATCGAACTAAATCAGTCAGTGATGTATCGAAATAGCGGGTGCTTGCTACACAATTAACAAAATTTGTTAATTAAAGAATATGTTTTTTTTTTTTTCATGTGTCAATCTAATAGTGTGTGCAGTGCCGTGTTTAGTGCATTTATATCTATATGGCACGTGCCATACCACGTATTTCGCTGGAAAAGTCAATCAAAAGTCGCCGCTCATATAAAATAGAAATGTGTTCGAGTAACGGTACCGATCAAATGTGTATGCGCATATGTTCGTACGCGTGTGGCTGTGTGTGCATGTCTGTGCTTGTACATTTATGAAGATTGCATATATTGAACGTTTCGCTGCTGCGTTGACACAATTCTGTATGTCCCACATTATTCTGTGGGCCTGCAGCCGCCTGGCCCCGCCCACACCTGCCGATTGATGTGTTCAAGTGAGCGTGACAAATGACAAATCTAGCAAATAATTTCGTTTTTATTTTTCACTCGCAATCTTTGTTGCCATTTAAATTAAGCAAAAATATGCGGGCAAATTTACGAATTGTTATTACATGCATACGCAGCTATGAATGCATGAGCATAAATACATGTGTACATGTGTGTGTATATGTATGTATCTATGCATATAATTTTGATTGTGAGAATTTGGTCTCACATTGTCTAGTTCGTAAGGAACAGCTAGTTCCACTAGTTCTCTTGGCGAATTTAAAATTCTAATAATGGTTGAAGCAGACAACAATTTTTGTTTTTTTCTCTTATAATGATGCGGGAATTGCGAAACACAGGTGGTTCCATTATTAAATTCCACTAGTTCTTTAGCCGAAGCGACCAAACGGTAAAAGAGAATAATGGCTGCCGAAAACAATGCTTTAGGGTAAATTGGTGAAAAGTGTTTTAAAAGCTAATTATTTAGATGCGTGTGCGCGTGCAACATACATATAACGGTAATAATGAAATCGTCTGTCTGAGACGCACATATTTAATAATCAAATTGAATTATTCATTGGCTAACGGCGGCGAAATAAAATTCGATTAAAACCTGGCGTCGACGCCTTGGGTTATTAGCGGCAATTGTTGTGCTTCTTATTGCGTTGGCAGTGCCGCCAGCAGCGCCACTTACGACGCCCACGCAACGCTTTCCAGCTGAATCTCTCTCTCTCTCTCTCTCTCTAGGTCTGGCTCTGTTCTAAATGCCAAGTCACGCATGCACACATACCTGCCACATTACATATGTGTGTGTGTGTGTAAGATGCTTAGCAGATAGGCAAAAATTGTGATGAAGGCACTGCTAAAACAAAGTAAAATTCACAATAGGGCATATGCACATGCCTATCTGTGTGTGTGTGTGTGTGTAAGTGCTTTCCCATGCTGTTTGTTAGTGACATACACACACACACACATACCTATGCACTATGTATGTGGGCTTGCAATAAATAATGAAACATGTTTCGAGTTGTCAGCACAGCGAGCAACAATTTGTCAAAAAGTCTTCGTCTTTGTTTCTACTCTGTATAAAAATGTGCAAAAAGAGAAGAGTATATCCACTGAGCACTCGCTAATTAGAAAGCTTCAGGTACGTAGCTCGAATGGCTATGCCTCAAACAGAGAGAGTCACTCGGTCTGGCATGGAGTAGACAACAGTTTACAGTCTAAGAGCCACCTGCAATCGATTTCACAGTTTATGAGTCATTCACAGGCCAATTGCATTTACAGTTTAAAGCCACAAATAACCAATTTCACAGCTTTCGGGTTGTACAAATGCCAATACTCTTAGCTTTTTACAGTGTATTATGTAGTCGGCTACACTTGTCTGCAATTTGTCTTAATTGTATTGCCTCTGCTTTGTGGCTTAGCCGTCGGCTCTGCTTTTGTCTTTGCCGCAACGTTGCAGCACAGATTGTGCGGGCGGCTCTGTTGTCAAGGTTTCACCATATGTAAAGTCTAGAAAACAAAAGTCTTTAAGTTAAATCTGGCAAGGCTTTCAATTTGGCAGAGCTCTTTAGCTCACGTTGTCTTACTTTTTGATTTGATATAAAATATAAATAAAATCAATTTGCTCTCATAACGTAAATGACAACACGAATTTGGCCAATGATCAAAAATTAAAGCCACAAAGTTTAAGCAGCACAAAATATATATAGTATATGTATGAGACTACCCTGCCGACGTGCCTTGCATCCGGCAGATACTTTGCACAATAATGGGCCAGACACGGGGCACGCTCCTCGTTCTTGTCGCCCACATTGCATAACATGGCTAACAAGTACAAAGAGAGCGTTGCTAAACGAGTGCACGACAGCAAGATGCCCTGCATTCCATTTTTGAATACAAAATGTATCTAAGAGCTTAAAGTAAATTGCATAAGAATTGCATTGAAAGACGATATAAAAATGAAGTCACAAAGATACGCAGACTTGAACCGTGGTCTCCTTAGTCTCTTTACCTATATTCATTCGCCCTCGCAATGGTACAGTTAGTCTACCCCTTATACCAGTTTTGCCTCTGCAGGGTATAGAAAGTAATGTAAAAGGCAAAAAGCAGCAAGCAAAACCAAATTTCCGACTGTTTTTGTTATGTAACCACGACGCACGATTCCACGTCGAGTGGAGCTGTTGCTTCAAGGACTCTGTCAGCCACCCAGCCACCCAACCACCCAAGCACCCAGCCAAACACTGAGCATTGCCGTTGGTCGACTGTCTGTGCTGCGGGTTTTTGGTTTGCTTCTTCCTCTCTTTTTTCATTCGCTTTGTGCGCAAAGGCAATGCAGAAGGATGGACGAGGCAAAGCGAAGGCAGGCAAAACTTTTTGACACGTGTCGTCGACGTCTCTTGCCCCATTTCACGATTTGTGTTGCATGCCACGGTCTCTGCCCCACTCTTGCCCTGTCTTATTAGAATATGCTTGATTCTACTTACGGGTACAGAATGTTCCGGCTTGGTGGACAAAAGTGTTGCTTCTGTTGTTGTTGCTGCTGCTGTTGTAGTTGCTGCTAATGTTGCTGCTATGGGTGTTGTAGCTGTTGGTGTTGTAGCTGTTGTTGTTGTTGTTGCGGTTGCTGTTGTTGTATCCGCTTGTGCTGCTGCTGTTGCGGCCGCTGCTGCTGCTGCTGCTGCTGCTGTTGTCCTTGTCAGTGGTAGGGCCAGAGCAAAGGCAGTCTCGTTGCCCGTCGCACCTTTATAATAGTCGTAGCCAGGTTCGCAATCGTTGCTGCAGCTGCTGCGCCGTTGCTTGTGTCTTGCGCGTCGCGTTGTTGTTGCTGTTGTTGCCGATAATGCTGCTGCTGCTGCTGCCGCTGTGTTGTGGCTGCGTCGCAGTGTAATCACAGTGACCAGCACGCTGCCACACACTAAACACACGGCGACACCAATGGCGATCAGCAGAACGTGGCCTAAAACGGGAAAGGATGAAATGCAAGTAAGTAAAGAGTTTTTAAATTTATATAGATATATAATAATTCTATTATATTTAATATAATATTTTTTATTTTTTCCATTTCTATGGAGCTAAAAGTTAGCCTTTTTCTCTTTTAAATAAAATATTTGAAGTTCTCACACAATTGTCCATCAAGAAATAGAAAACAAAACAAGACTTTTAAAAACAACAAGGCAAATCTAAATTGCTAAATATACGCCCCCACAGCAAACACTCTAGCAAAATATAAACAAACTGACCGTTACGAAATATTTTCAAAACTAAAGTTCCCACAAATAAAACAAAAAATAAATACACAATGCTAAAAATACTGCAAAAATACTCAAGCAATGCTGTGAAACAATGAAAAAGAGCAACGAGGCGAACGCAATGCGTTCAATGTAAACATGCATACATAGCTGTAGAAACAAATATATATCTGTATATATATAAATATAAATGATATATATTTATATAGAAATGTATGTATTTATGTATGTATGTATATAAATGCGTAAGCGTCTAGACTAGATAGCAGACGACTTAAGCGATATCGAGCAACACATGCGCAAGCGTCTGGCATTCGTAGCTACTCACATGAGTGTGTGCGAGCCTATGTGTGTGTGTGTGTGTGTGTGTGGGCGAACGGGCAGAGAGCGATAAACAAAGCGTACCAACTAACCAGCCGGCCCCACAGACAGACATGCTATACTTATGTTGGCTATTTAGCCATGATAGACGCACACACACACACATACACACACACGCACATATCACATATGTGTATATGTATGTGTGCAGACGGAAAGAAAGGCCGTTCATATCGCTAGACATGTTCTATGCACAATTGTTTGCGTAATACAATATTTTACAAAGGAAAGCTATATTATAGCTATAGCTATAGCTAAGCGGAAATTTTGAGTATTTAAAAAACATAAAAAATCGTCCCACTGATTAAGTAATAAACATTTTATTGCTAATATAATAAACAACTATTTTTGAAAATTACTTCTAAAATTATTGCCGGAATTTTGCGGGCTTTTTTAAAAACCTAATGGAATGACTGGTATAAAAAGTAAGATTGATGGCTTTGTAGTAGTGAAAAAATGATTGCATCGGAATTCAGTTACTTGTTAGTTTTAAATTGATACTGAAAGTAAATATAGGGGTATTTAAAAAATACTAAACATTTAATATGATGATTTTTTACGCTGACATTTATTAATCTATCAATCTATCTCCAAAAAGAAACAATATTTACGTATGTATTTATCGTAGTATTTTCGTCTGATCAGCATACCAGGCCTTGAGGGGCGCCAAGTAAATATTTGTAATGTCTGTCGCACGATTTGTTTGATGTACAGTTACAATTAAGCGAGGCCAAACACGAAAATGAATGACGCAGCTACAATGTGTGGGGCATCAACTTCACAGGGGAAGATAATGGAAGTTTTTTTTTTCTGTCTGGGATCAGTCGGCAGTCAGGTGTGCGTCTGGGTCAATGAAAGGCCAAAAAACAAAAACAACAATAGGATACAAATGAAACAAAAACTGAACAGCGAAAATGTTCACGATTATATCAAATACCGAAATGCCAGACGAATAAAAAACTGAAAAAAGATAATTTTGCAAAAAAAAAAAAAAAACAACAAAAATGAAGTTAATCAACTAAAATGTACAACGACTTGTCAACAGAGTCGGCGTGTGTGTGTGTGTGTGTGTGTGTGTGTGTGTGTGTGTGAGAGAGAGGTGGTGGTGTGTGTGCGCGTGTGTATTTATGCTTGTCTGTCTGGCTGCAACTTTACAACAGTACAACAACAACAAAAGCAACAACAAGTGGCACTTTAGACTTTTGCGCATTCCCAGCCGCTGTTGCGGTCGACGCTGACTGCGACTGCGACTGCGACGGTGAACAGGTGACTCAACCGGCTCAACGCTTAGTTTTTTGTTCATTTTCTTTTTTTTGTATTATACCTGTTCTCTCTTTTTTTTTTTTTTTTGTTTAATTGCATTGTTGCTGTAATTTTTATCGCAGTTGACTGATTGAGCGCGTCTGCGACACAGTCATATCTAAAAAAAAAAAAAAAAAACAAATAGCACTCAGCGACACGTGCATACAAATGCCCTGTAGAAGCGGGTCACATGGTTAGAACAACTAGATTGCGTCAGGTTGCGATGGTGCGGGCTTCGAATTCTGAGAAATATACAGCTAATGAGATGTGGAAGCTTGCAGTATTTGATTCTAAGTAATTGAATTAAATGCATAAATTGGCAGCTCTAAATATAGGGTAGATAACTTTTTTCCAACTTGCCACACACCCAAGAGCCACATATTGGACGTATAGATATATCTCGCTATCTGTCTATCATCTATTCATTTATCTCTCTATCTAACTATATATCTATCTTTCTATATATACCTATATCTATTTAGCTACCTATTCATTTCCTGTACAACTATAAGGAGTCTTCACTGCATAACGCATAAATTGAAATCAATAGGCAGGCGAAAGAAAAAATTGTAGTTTCCTGGAATCAACTGTACCACATTCCAAATCGAGTACGCAATAAATTAATGTGACATATTAAGCTAATGTCATTATGAGTCTTAAAATTGATATTTGTTCAATATGTAGACAGCTGTTTAGCTTACGGACTTAGCAGGCAGGCTGGCACCCAGCTAGCCAGCCAGCCAGCCAGTCGGGCAGTCAGCTTGTGGTCTGCCTTCGATTTGTTGTGCGAGAGACTTAAATGGATTTTGTGGCTATTTTTAGTTGACGCGCTGATCTCCTAGTGGGCACACGCACACACACACACACACACGCCGCTGGCTGTGGTGGGCAGTGTGTAAACTTGTTTGCAACGCCAATGCAAAAATAAAAGCACATAACTTTAAATGAGGCAGGGGCAATGGGGCGGCAAATGTCCGAAAAGTTGACGGACGGCAAGTTCCTTGAACTGCAACGGAGGCAGCTATGCAAAAGAAGAAGCAAAAAGCACGTAGGGAGTGCACAACTGGGAGATAACCTAACCAAAGTGATGATAATCTAATGAACTGATTATAGTATTATCATTTCAATGATTAAATCAATCAGCCATTATAATTATTATAAATCTTTCTGATTTTCAAAATCATTATTAATCTCAGCCTCACTTGTAATTTATTTATTTATAATAAATAAAATTTCATATACGTCATCATCATCATGACTATTAATTGCAAAGTACATTATCATCAGCTTCATTATAATTAGCAATATTATCATTATAATTATTCTGTGTGTAATTCTATGACTTCAGTAATTAGATTAGAGAATAATTTCTTCCCTCTGTAACATAAATTTGATATAAACTAATATACCCTAATGTATAAGTAATGGGTATAAGTACACAATGAATGGACTGTTCAAATGGTAATCGGGCAATTTGGAGGCTGACAATTCAATTGATTAAGTGAAAGGAGGTGCCTCGAGGTGGGTTTATCTGATATGCCATGCTATATGCTATATATACATACATATATACACACATATGTGTGTCTATCTGTAGCTTTTGAGCTCGGTTCTCGCTGAATTCTTCAAGTTATTAATTTAATGATTATGATAGCAGCGCTAATGACAGTCAAGTGCATTTATATACAAATATAAATATATATAAAGATATAGATATAGATGTAGTAGAAATATGTATATATGTTAGGTATATATGTTATGAGTATTTGGTCAGTAGGAGCATTGACATCTTAATTGATGTCAAGGTCTAACTGAATGAGGCGAAATGTCGGGCTTGCAACTAAACTGAACTCGCATCCACTCAACTCAACTCAAATCGTGCCTTTAGCATGTTAATACAAGTATATATACTGCGTATACACTAGCATACTGCGCAGATGACATTGAACTTGAAGGAATTGTAGTGTGTGAGAGAATTTTGTTATGACTTGATCTATTCATTCCAAATTGCTCGAATATGATGCAATTCGCCAGACTTTGTAACCACTGCCAATTAAATTGTAGCTAAAATCAAATAGACCAGAGATAGAGTGAGTGAGTGAGGCAGAGGTGGAGGTCGAGTAGCTGTAGAGCGTCACGTATACATACGTATGCCTAGCGGTAGTCGTATCTATGCTCCGACGTCTGATAAACATTGAACAGAAAATAAAATAGAATTTTCGGACAACTGACGTCAGTCAAGTGCGCCAGACAGCCGCAGACGTAGACAGCGTTGCAGAAATTGTTCAAATTCACGAATTTCGAATATGACTGTGTGAATAAACAGCGCAAATATTCGTTTATAGATTTTCAATTTGCCATAAACGGCCATTCAGACCAACCCAGTCGGGCACATAAGAATGCTCTAAATAGATGAGTAAGCCTGAGAATAGTAGTGGAATGCTCAGGGCATTATCAACTATTGATAGACAGAGGAAAGTAGAGGAATTTTCATGTCATCACGTGCCATTTGGCATTACAAACACGTGATATTTCATGTATGCAATATGTGCTGAAAGTAATTGCTCGAAATCAGCTGTAAAACTGAGTTTTGTCTGTTCTAAATATGCCTCGGTTGGACTAAAAAGTAGAAAAGTTTTCGGGGCATGCCATTTGGCATTTGAAACAGCTGATACTCCTCTTTCTGGGTGCAATTTTTGTTGCACACGCTTGCTTAGCCATGGACAACTGGGCTTTTGGCAAGCGATGCAGGCGAAATACGAAAATTTTTTGGCAGTTCAACAAGCAGAAGCGAACGAGAAAATTTCAATATCAACATGCAAAAGGCAAAAGAAAAAAGAAATGCAAGCGACAAAGTCTCGTTGCTGACGCCGCTTCCGTTTCCGTCCGCGCGAGAGAAGGAGAGCGAGAGCAAGAATGAGAGAGAGAGAGAGAGAGAGAGCAAGCGCAAAGTCGAGTCAACCCTTTTGATGCAATCGCAGACGCAGACAGCGCAAAGCGTTTGCTGGCAAACATGCAAATGAAT